GGGTCGGTGGCCCTGCAGGTCCATGGGGCTGTCTAACCCGCTGACCAGGGCCGGGCTGGCTTTGTATTGATCCTGTCACCTTTGGCTGCCTGTGAGCAGAGGTCCAGGCCGCAAGTATGCCCAGGGGCTGGACACAGCAATGGCTCCATCAGAGTAACCTGAGCTCCAGTCCCTACAGGGGAGGTGACGTTCTGGGTGGGGGGAAGGGAGAGAGGACTACCCGAGGCATGTCAAGGAGAGCCGAATGGTGAATGGCGGAGCCACAAGTCCTCTAAGTCCCCTCTCTTCCCTGCTGACGGCTCCCCAGACTGTTCAGCGGGGAGTCAGGGAGGGGGAAGGACTGGGCCCTGTCCCCCCTCCCCAGCCCTGGGTACAGACCCACGGCTTTAGCCACTCAGCTGACCCCCACCAGGCCCTCTGCCTTCTGTGCTCCCAGACAGATGACCCCAGGAAATCCTGCAGCCCTCACCCTCCACCCACCCGCAGTGGCACTACCTCCTTCCACCCTGTCCTTGCTTGCTAATCCTAATCCTTCATGGCCGCTGCCTCTTTAGCCTCTTCAGCTTTTCACGTTCTGGAAAGCTTAAAGGGAAAGTACCTTTCCAGATCCCACCTGCCAGGGTCCACCTGCATTCTCTTCATTTTCTCACATCCCCAGTTTTGTTTTGCAGTCCAAGGCAGAGGAGACCCCCCAAACAGTACCTCCAGTTTTCATCATGCCGGATTCTGGCGCGTGCGCACACCTGAGGTGCTTTTCAAGTCTGCGACTATGCCAGGGTGTGAACCCTGGTTGGCTGTGTGGGCTCCAGCTTCCGTCCGTTTAGTAAGTGTTAGGGCTGGCCCCATAGGAATAGCACCAGCTTAGAGGTGCCGCTCTATGCACTGGGGATCAGATTCCACACGCTGCCTGAGGTTCGAGTCCCAGCCTCAGCAGCTTGAAAAACACTGGGCATGTCCTGACAGAATGGACAAAAAGAGGAAAAGGGATCGCAGTGAATCACACCTCATTGGGGGTGCTATCTCTCACTGTCTCTGAGGAGTGCATGTACTCTCTAACAACAAAAACACTCTTTTGTAGAGATTTTTGTCAGAGGCTCCATACACTCACCAGAGAGACAGAGAGAGATGAGCGAGAGAGAAAGCACCTCTCAACAGGGCAAGGTCAGGCCACATACAGTCCCTTCTCCATCTCCCGTCCTGTTGAGACTTTGGGCACGTGCGCGCACACAGACTCGGGATGTTTTTCAAGCTGCTGTGACTGGATTCGAGCTACATGGTCAGCCAAGGGATGTGGCTCCCTTAACCATTAGGCTGTGGGGGGCCGGCCCGTTCATTTGTTCTCTTGGTGACTAATTCAAAGAATTCCATTCTTTGACTAGACCGTAATTTATCCATACTTCTTGGAGGACATTTGGATTTTTTCTCATTTGGGGTTGTTACGAGTAAAGCTGCTATGGACATCCTTGTTCATAGGATCTTTTTCTAAAAAACGTCTTATTGGGGCCAGCAGGTGGCATGGTGCTTAAGGCACTGGACTCACATATGGCCAACCGTGGTTTGAGTTCTGGACCCCGCACCTTTCTCGCTTTTTCTGTCTCTCTGGTGAACTCATATGCTTTATAGAAAATTAAAATAATAATAAAACTAATTCTTGGAAAATAGTTTTAGGGCCAGCAGATGGCTTAACGGTTACTTCACTGGACTCCCACATGGCTAACCGCGGTTTGAGTCTCAAGACCCGACGGCTTCAAACTCACACCAGGCACGTGTGCGGGTGTGCCTGAAATCCCGAGAGGAGAGTGGAGGAAAAGTGATAGTGGCATGACCATCACCCTGGGGGGGTGATTTCTTGCTTTCTGTCTCTCTGTCTCTCCTACGAGTGCACAAACCTCTCCAAAGAAAAAAAGTTTTACTCAGGTGTAATTTACATACCATAAAATATACCCATTATGGACAGCAGGTGGCATGGTGGTTAAGGTGCTGGATTCCCACATGGCCAACCGTGCTTTGAGTCCTGGACCTGGTGACTTGCTTTCTCATTCTCCCTCTCTTTCTCTTTCTCTGTTGAGTGCATGTGTCCAATTGTAAATTAAAATAATATTAATCATAATAAGAATAAAATTAAATCTCAAAAAATACAACCATTGTAAGTGTCCAGTCCTATTTTTTAGTAACTTAATAAAGTTGTACAACCATGTCTGTCACCCCCAGATTTCTCTCGTCATGTTTTAGTCAATCCCCAACCCCAGCCCAGGAAACCAAAACTACTTCTCTTTCCTTTTCTAGAAATGTTATATAAATGGAATCTCAGGACATGTAGTTACTTTGTGTTCCGCTTCTTGCAGTTAACTTAGCGCAGTTCTTTCTAGGACCACAGTGTTTCAGTAGCTTGTTCTTTGGCATGGCTGAGTAGCATTCAGCCATGTGACATTCAGACCTGTGACATTTTGCTTATCCATTCACAGTCCGTGGACATCTAAATTGTGTTTGGATTTTGGCTATTAAGAATGAGGTTGCTGGGACCAGCAGTTAGCGTAATGGCTATGTCGCTGGACTCCCACGTAGTCGACCGCGG